GAATTTTTTACAACGCTTGAAAGATTTATATCGAAATATCACAGACTCAATTTTCAATCGAAATAAAAATCTCGACCCTTACATCCGATACGCCTGTTGTTTATTTATAGTCTGATACATGATTTAAAATTCCTATTTCTGTCATTTCTACGTTAAGCGAATTGGAGAGCTATGCAAATTTTGTACGTCTAACGAACCACCGTTCATAGATGAAATGCCAAGAACAGATTGCATTTCGGTTTACGTCTATGAATTTCCGAATACATTGTATAATTTGAGATGGAACAACAGACGTTACTTGACATTGTTGCAATAATAGATACCATTAATTCTGTTTTAGATAATGGTCGATTTATATGTATGGCTTTGACTATTGAAACAATGACCTTTCTCCCTGAGGTCGAACTTTCGGACCCCGGGTTTGCAAAAATAGATATTTCTATGATAAATAAATAGTTGATCATACGGTAAAGCCTACGCTCTTCTGAAAACTATATGCTATAAATCCCATCACATAACTTTTGCTTTCTTGGAGAATCCTTTAAGGTCTCTGCAATGAGGCTATGGAATTCACTACCTGTCCCTATCCGCATAGCTCCCTCTCTGTTCCTTTAAATCTCTAGTGCACAAGCATAACCTGTCCACATTGTATCCCTAACTTTAATACTAACTACTGAAATTATCGTAATTCATTTGTCCATTTTATTTTTTATAGTCATTTTCATTGTCTACATATATTTTAATTGCTTTGTTTTGTTCCATTCTTTTTGTCTAAGTAATTATATATATCTTATTTAGTTTTGCACTTCACCGTATTTAATTTTAAAAAATTATTTCCTCGCCGAGGCCAGTTAGTTGGCCTTCTTTTTATTTAATTATACTGTATTTCTTGCAACGAAGTGTACATAAATAAATAAAATAAAGACAAACCAAGTGTCCTCATATATAGATTATAAAATAAAGTATAGCTGACTTCAATTACTTCTCAACTAAATATTATTAACAATATATATTATAATTATAATGCTTTATTTATGTAACCGGACTAAGTCTATTGGGTTGATATTAGATACAATATTGTCTAACAAACGAGTACTAATTCTTAAAAGGCCGGCCACGCACTCGCGAGACCTAAATGTAAACCATGCAAAACTCCACAGTTTCCCCTAACTTCCACTCGTTTAAGAGGAGTTCAGTGACGTACACACGTACAGTGGAATTATATACATATATATCTAAGCTAATCCAATCCTATCTTTTAAGTTAGATCCAACTGCACACTGTGTGCAAATTTGATTGAAATCGGTTAAGTAGTTTAGGGGTCCATAGCGGACAAACAACGTGACGCGTAATTTATATATATTAAGATATATAGTACAAACTCATAACCCTTCTTTGAAGTCGCCTAAAAGTGATAATGTACCAATACACTGTTTAGATAAAACCTTCATACTCAATTATCATACCGCATGAGTAACATCTACAGCCGATAGTTGGGTAATTTCATAAAGCCTCCATTCGCGAATGATTGTTTCAGCAAGTTACTCAACACTTTTCTTATTGTTCTCTATCGGAACTGAAACTGTTACGGACTAAACTTTGAGATTGTATTAGTTTTTGGGATATTGATTGTGGCCGTTATTCGTGAAATTCATTTTTCTTCATAGATTGTTAGCCTACGTGACGGGCCACTTTCAAAATTGTATCAGCTGAGAGAAGATAGTAAAACGTAAAAATATAGCACTTTGGTATTGAAAAAAGTGCGTGCGTACAAAGTACACATGTCAGAAGTGTAACTTCTTTGGCAAACTAATTTTTAAGTCTTGTTCATATTTATACAAATCTAAAGCTTTAGATTTTCGAGACTGAGAGGGAGGGAAAAAGGAAGATATCTTAGGAATTTAATGAACTTAATTGTCAATAAAATATTAAAAGTTTCGAAAATTAATACAAATTATTAATTTATTTTTTTAAATTTATTTCTTCGATAATAAAAACACGTGGCATTTTTATTTACAATTCGTCATTTCAGAATTCAATTAATTATTTTGCATAAAATATAAAAACCTATTTCATAAATTCTTTTTACGAAATTTTAATTTTAAAAACATAACTTCTATAAACTAATTCGCCCTTGTCACTCTCTCTCAATTGGTCTAAATCGCTATCTACCTTTTCTTCGACAAAAACGCTGCACATCTTTGTGACGTTTCCGTAAAAATTTACCCTCATGCACCTAAAGAAATTTCACTTCAATAAGTGTTAAGTTTTACAATATCATGCTCAAAAATTTCAAATAATATGAGTTATCTACCCTACTATTATTAAATCAATAACGGGGGGCCTACCATGAGCTTCTGTTGCCTAATGACAACCTACAACGGAACTGCATCATTTATTCATACCATGACGTCGAATAAACCATTTAGGTTTCCACGTAATCTCAAAGGTAATCGATTTCGTTCATTCAATTTGTATGAAAATTCAAACCATGACCTCGCGACGGAACCTAAATTGGACTAGCCTAGCCCGCTAGCCCTCAAATTATGACAGAATATGCGATTCTGAATTCGGTACTATTTGTTCTTTAACTCAACTTATTTGTATCGAAGTATTCAACTAATAGTCAAAAACATAAATTCAATATTTTAATTAAAACTAGTTCATACAGGATTAATAGGATATAGTATGTCTATATATAGTAAAAATTTTATAATTTTTATATTCCGGATATTAAGTGTGTGTTATGAAGAAATTATTAAAAATCGACTTAGGTACGAAACAGACTTTTTTAGGCTTTCTGTATTGTTTAAGTGTTTTGTTTTATAATATGTATGTTTGCTGTTAGATTTCTAATAAAAATTAAATAATTAATTAAATAAATAAGACGACAATCCCCTTATTTCGAAGTCGAAGATGTCGAGTTTGTAAATTGATTCGTTGAAGATTTCAGTATACCACACACACAATTGTACAATTGTTTAGTAAATAAAAAAAGTAATAAGAAATAATTATTTAAATTAATAATTATTTTTCTTTTAATTTAATCATGCATTAAATATAATTTAATTTAATATGATTCAAGGCATTAGCGCTACGGATTCATTCTTGTTTTCGTGGGGAAATGCGTAACGAATACCCTGCCGCGGCGCAACTGCCTTGTGGTGGAGGGTTATGTGGGACTCGCTGTGTATACCCACTAAAACCCCACGGCACCACTAGCAATCACCCGACGCCGAACACGGTTACAGCGTAGTCTTGTCCACATCCCGCCACGCGATCAGCCGTTTAAATCAAGGCTTTCTATAACCATGCATGATGTGGAATGGAACTTGGCACAGCAAGGGTTTCATTCATGTTCACTCTGGTTTGTAGAGCTGGGGGATTTCGGGTGCAATGCATTCCTAGAATGCTGACGTAGCCTTGCAACGCTACAGATATTGAGAGAACTATATCGAACTAGCATACAAAAATGTCGGGATCGGTAACGACATCACTAGTGGAAGGCAGAGAACGTAACTATTAATCTAAATCTCAAAATTAGCTTAGTAACTAGATTACGAATACTATGAAGTGTTTGAACATATAATGGATACATCATCAGAAAAGCGAGACATCCACTGGACGGATGCTATTCTAGAATTACACAGAAGTAAAATTATTGTGTGTCTGTTACTTTTTTTTAAAAATGTATACAACATTATTGTTTGAATCGTATAAGAATATAGTTCATATTAAACGCTGATTTCAAAAATATTGGTATCATAAAGAATAATATATTGCGTTATAAATTGAACAGACCTCACACTATCAATAACCATTAATCCGTCCATTGACAGCTCTTTCCATTAATATTTATTACTATCTAGTACTAGTTTTCATAATACAGTCTGAGAGTTTGATAATCCAATAACTATTTCGCTTGGTCGAGTTGTCTTTTTATATCTTTATAAAAAAAGCATTAACATTTTTTTATTTTAAATTTGAAAAGTTTAATAAATAAATATTTATTATTATTCTCTTACATTAAGTGTAACATAAATTCTATTATTATTTGAATGTTGTTTTTAAATTTCTTTTTATTTACACAAATACATTATTTACAATTTTCTTAACCTATAAAGTAATAATAAAAATAATTAAAGAAGAAAGAAGAAAATCAAAACAAATTTAAAAAGTTTAAGTTAGTTTTTTTTTATTTTAATAGTTTTGTGTAGACAGGTTATTATATAAGCCAGGCATTTCAATATTTTAGCAATATTTTATTGTTGTTTTATATTCTTCTCTGTATTTTCTTCACTTCTACTACTCTAGATGTTCCTTTGGCAGAGTACGCATAAACTTTTGCGTAACTAGTTTTCAAAACTTGTGAAATTCAGAAACGAAACTTAGCGCAAACTATTACTCCCGTATGTCAAAATCCAGAACATTTATATCCTGCGGAAATCAAACTTAGTGCTAAGTCTCGTTTCTGAATCACACTGTCTTCTTCTTCTTCAGTCGCCTTCTTCATTTCTGAAGGTCGTGTTAGTAGCGCCACACAACTTCCTCCACTCTCCCTGTCTTTGGCAAAATCACACCCTAGATCATTTAAAATTTAGAACTGTTACTTTGCACTTGTGTTTAAATATCCGTAAAATCGCTAATTATGAGAATACAATACAGTTTTCTCAATTTGAACTATTACCTTAAAAAAGTTTTGCAAGTTTCGATCTTTGTAAAAGTTTTATTGATATATATTCACCTAGATATACTATAAAAAGGGTAAAATTTAATCACAAACTGAATAAAAACAATCAAACATAATGAGTAAAATAATTATATTATATCTAAATAATATTTTATAGATCCATATTCACTTTTGTTTCAGACCAGAATGACTGAAAACCGATCAATATGGAAGAATCATTTAAGAAAAATTGCGTGAAAGAGACGATACTAACATGCTTCCCTGTCCAACCTGGTTGGCAACGCTGCTTTTCATTATTCAACATTCAGAAATGAAACACAACATAGACGATCCAACTAGCAAGCATCATCACAGACATAGACACAAACTTGCCGACACATATGAATATAATCCTTACTACACAGTACCTGACTTCCAAAATATATATTTAGATAAAGGCATAGACTTTGATATTGTAGCAATTGATAATGAAAATAAAAATGAATGGGTTAAGACACCAAGTGACCAAATCAGTGAGCTAAAGGACAAGAAACATCAACATTGGCCCATAAAGAGAGAAGCGGTGATCGAAGGCGACTTAGTACTCGGTGGTTTAATGATGGTTCATGAGAGATCGGAGAATATGACATGTGGACCCGTGATGCCTCAAGGAGGAGTGCAGCCGCTGGAGACAATGCTATATACTCTAGATATCATAAACCACAAATTAAAATTAATACCTGGAGTGGTAATTGGAGCACATGTTTTAGATGACTGTGATCGAGATACGTATGGACTTGAAATGGCTGTTGACTTTATTAAAGGTGATATATTAGTTTTATATTTATTTGTTTTACACGTCGTATTCAATATACAATTAATTTCAAGAAAAAAACGTTTTGTTTTTGAAATTTCCAAAAAACTTTGGAGCCAAATCTTAGTTATCTAATATTAAACCAACATTGCAAAATCCATAGTAATTGACATTAAATAACTCTTTGTTTCTTAATTAGGTATCTGTATGACCTATGTTATGATTATTTTTCAACATGCCACTAGGAAAAAATATAGTATAAGTTTAATTACAGGATCGATTAGCAATATCGATGATGCAGAATATGCATGCAACGCGACTGCAATGAGAAAAGTCATATCGGGAGTCGTCGGTGCTGCATCTAGTGTTACGTCAGTGCAAGTCGCCAATTTACTTAGATTGTTCAAGATACCACAGGTAAGATATTTTTATTACAATATTCAAATCAATAGCTAGTTGTTATTAAAAGTAAGATTATCTAGAAGTAGATTTATTTTTAGAGTTTTATTAATAACAAGCTATGCCTTTTTTGACGTGGGGCAATGAATTCCCACGCCGCGATTGCTTGCGGGGGGGTTCTATGGAATTCGCTATTATGCGTAGCTGCTAAAATCCCAAGGTGACACTAGCTTTTGGTGGGATGCGGTAACAGCGGAGCCCTGTCCTAACCTAACTAGCTAGCCCTGCGGTCTCACTCGTCATTCATTCGTCTTGCGATGTTATAATATATCTTATAGACTTCTTCAACGACGGTTGCAGCACAAATAAAATAGTCGTTAATTAAAGTAGTAGTTAAAGAAATGACTGTTTGTGCCGTTTTATTAGAAGTGTAGATTGTTATACTATGATAGCGTTGGTGATTTAGAGTCACACCCTCATCTATAGCGATTCTGTAACTCACTTTTCGAACTCTCACAGCGGTTTTATGATTTGGCATTCTGATAAACAATAAACTACAAGCACCCCCCGCTTGTCAAGACGTAATGTGAAATTGCTTCACAGAATACCATGAGATTCCAAAAATGACGAGAGTGACGAAGGGAGCGTTATTAGTGCGAGGTGAACTCACGGATTAACAGAATCGCACGGCTGTTCTTATATAAACTTAGTTTTACGTAACATTCATGATCGTTCATTAATATCTCTTCTATATATATAAATTTCTCGTGTTACATAGCTCGTTTCCATACTTCTCCGAAACGGCTCGACCGATTCTTATGAATTTTTTTTGCATATTCAGTACGTCTGAGAATCGGCTATTTTTTATCTTTCAACCCCCTAAGTGATAAGGGGTGACACCAAAACATTTTTTTTTTAAACTAAATTTTTTGTTTTTATTTTTTATGATAGAACATACAAAAATACATTCAACCCTTAATTTTCATCTACCCTCTACTATCAACCCTTATTTTTTATTTGTTAGTTAAGAACTTATTTAAACTTGAACTCTGAGGTTTATGTGGAGAAAAATTACAGAAAACTCTAAAACCCTTTTCATTCCGGAAAACCGAACATACTGGGGTAGCATAGCAAAATGTTCCATGATGGTACGTACTAAAAAGATAGGCTACGCATTAAGGAGAAACGAAGTTCGCGGGGGCAGCTAGTGATTCTATATAAATAACATGGCTTACATTATTTTATAACAAAGTCTGTTGCAATTATACGATACAAAGACGCCTTTGTCTCAAAATAACCTACATAATGTAAATATAACCCAGCTCAAAACATATTACAAACCAAGTTGAAATATGTGCAAATAAATAGTCATTCAAAATAATTAAATTAGAGCAGGCCGCAAAACAATTTCCGTTGCCGTCACGGGCTTCCTCTCATTTAATTAAAATATTCGTTTTTGAAATAATGACAATTCAAGAGACAAAGTGATTAATCTTTAACTGTGATTCCTGGTTTGTTGACCTTCATTTGTTTCATTGCAAATTGGGTTTGGTTTTAATTACATAAGGCTCAGCTAGAAAGTTATATTTATTTACATTTCTATATACCGTCTAATGTATAGATAATGAGTGTAAGCCTGTGAGACCTGTAAGCTCCGATAGATTATTTGTATCTTGCTTCTGATTCACAATCAGATAGACAAGTACGCGACTTAATTGCAGTTATACTTATAAGGAAAGAAACTTATTTATCGGCAAATAATAGATACATTTAGAGCATTATAGCTTGTTTTAGTATATATATATATATAGCCACTTATAATGTATTTCTAACTAGCATTACGAAACCATTATACTACGTATATATATATATATATATACGTATAATGTTACTGTTATTGTTTAGTCGGGGAGAAAAAAAACTTTAGCGACTGAATTACCTAATTTTACCCTACTCTGACTTTGGGAAATATACATCGAAAATATTGTAAAATGACTGTAGAATTTACCTAGTGTTTTGTACATTAGATATAGTATATACACGATCCGAATTATTCTCTTTCGCTAGTATAACATTCATATATGTATTTCAAACGCTATGGATGACAAAAAAATTTTTTTTTACTAATTATAAAGTTCACAAAAAAGAGTGCGACTTTACATGAATTACATACAATCTAGCCTATACAATAATTATAGCTAATAAGTAATATTATTTTGACCTAATTTTCTACAATACTAATTACTAAGGTAATGTTCATGAACAGTCTTAGTATTCTATAATGATTAGACACTATGTTCGTGTGTCCGAGATACCGCACTTGCACTTATATTATCTACACTATGTTTTTTAACACAAAAGGTTTAGTTCTCATTAGGCGTTCTATTCCTGTTGTATCAAGAGTTGTTTAGTGAGTTCTCTCATTTTTAATATCATGGTATATTGCATTGGCCATGTCCCGAAGTAAAATTCTGAAACCTTTATGTCTTCACTGTCAAGAACTACTCTTAGCTCTTGTGGTGCTTAAGAAGAAATTGGTTGAAATTCAATACATAAAATACCAGAAATATATTTTTATTTCCATATAAGTAACTTACCCCATTATATAATATATATAATACTATATAGCGTACCAATTTCCGAGGGTTGATGCCGCTAACCTTTACTTAGTTTTACCTGTGAGGTATGTTTGAGGTCGGGTTGATTCAATTTACCAAATGTCTTTAGTTTGTATTGTCCACGGAAAGTATTATTTATATTTCTCGATGAACTCAATTTTATTCGATTTTAGAGTTTGGTAACGTATTGTAACCATAGGCATTTAGTGTGGGTGTACAGATGGCTTAAGCGAAATGCACAGTTTCGAGATTAATCCATTTTAAGGAAAAAAAAGATATTCCAATCTAAAATTTAAAATTCTCGTGTCGCGGTGTTTGTAGCTAAACTCCTCCGAAACAGCTTGACCGATTCTCATTAAATTTTGTGTGCATATTGGGTATGTCTGAGAATCGGACAACATCTATTTTTCATCCCCCTAAATGTTAAGGGTAGTCCACCCCTAAAATATTATTTTTTTTAATTTTTAGATAATTTTTTTTTGATACAGCATTAAAAAATACATACAACCCCTAATTTTCACCCCTCTACGATCAACCCCTATTTTTTTATTATAAATGATATACATGGCAAAACCACGTTTCCCAGGTCAGCTAGTATCATTATATTATCAATATATCAGTGCAGTTTATTTTTAATTTATCTTTTTAGCAACAACTTCATACAATGAATGTGTACAAAGTTATAAAGGAGAAAAAAAAAATTATAGGCCAAAATCTGATATTTTCCTGATTATAGAAAGAAAAAACTACGAAGTTTTATGTTTAAAATTTAACTATAGCAGACCATTTTAAAATTTCATAATTAAGTTGGGGGATCAGAACATATTAGGAATTTTATAATTATTTTCTAACAAGTCTGTCAATACTAATACTAAGGAATAATAATATAATAATCGTCCATGTTTGGCAATAAACGTTAAATATGTTAATGATGTTTTACATATAATAGTATTTTCTATTATAGGTTTCGTTCTTTTCAACATCTCCGGAGCTTTCCAACAAAGCGCGCTTCGAATACTTCACCAGAACCATACCATCAGATTTACATCAGGTAAATATTACTTGTAATGTATGTTTATTTGTATTATTTATGAGTAAAAATGTTCTTTTTACGCACTGGGCCAGGTGAAGCAGTCCCAACAGCACCCTGAAGATGTTACTATATTGAACGCGCAACACTTACAAATTAGACATTTTTCACTATAACACACTTTAAACTTACTTTAAAGTTAACAATTAAATATTGTACAGACTCAAGACTTTTGTGGCCATCCGTACTCAAATTATTCATCTTTAAAATTGACGTATAAATAGATACGTAAGAATAAACTCCCTTGCGATTCTGTAACTCACACAGCGGCGGTCGCGCTCAAAACTCAGTCATTTTACGACTTGGCATTCTGATAAACAATAAACTACAAGCTCCCTCCTTATCAGAATGCCAAATCATAAAATGACTGCTTCACGACTGATTTGAGCGCGACCGCAGCTGCGAAAACTGCTGTGTGAGTTCGAATCGCAAGGCTGTTAACAGTGATGATACCTGAAGACATCCTTTGGCAAATATTCAAACGTTTCGTCATGATCGTATAACAATGTCGGATTTGAAAAAAATCCAAAATCCACTTTTTATCACATTTGGATACTACATTGACTAAATATTACGGCTACATTAAAAAAAATCCATGTGTTTTAAATTTCCAATTAATCAGTCGGTAAAGTGACGGATTTGATAGAAACATGTGATTTTTATAGAAAACTGTGTAATTTAATGTTATTATTTTAATTTTGTTTCAAAACAAACCCTTTTGTTTGCATGTATGCCAATTTTCATAATAACAGAATATGAATTAAAATAGTTCTGACAAAAACTAATATGATTATATAATTTTTGAAATGGCTGCCCTGTAAAGTTTACTATTTGTCAGTCACTATTCTACGACTATGACAGTTTCATCTGAGTTTTTATTATGTATAGCAGCTTCGTCGTGCCAAGTTACAAACGCTTTATAAAATATACTGCTAGCGGCTAAACTGATAATTTTTGGTTCTTTTAGTAGCCTTTTTGTTCTTAATTCCAGTCTATTTTAATTTATATAATATAAATTGATCTAAATAAGAATAAATGTTGTTATAGAGTTTCCCTAAAGATAGTTCGAAACAATAAAAAATGTTTAAACAGCTTTCTAGCGATGTAATCACGGCAAAAATCTTCTGTTGACATTTCTACTCTTACCAATATGCCCACAGAAAATCAATTTCACTTGCTGCGGTGCGATGCAGGTCACGTAAAATCCTCTAAAAGACACTTAAAATGTTTTTTGGTACTTGAGCACTTGTTGGCAAATGCACAAAGGCTTAATCTAAGAGTTTGTACATGTAATGTGGACATTCTATTTCCGCGCAATGGCTTAGAACCATTTTCAAAGTATTTTTTTTATATTTATTTACTTTTAATTTACAATTATGTGTTATTTCTCTGATGCCTTTAATTTTAAGTAATGGGATGTGTACTGTGATGTAGCTTAATGCTTATTATTTTTAAGGCGGTTTTTGCAGAGCACCATTACTATGTAGAAACTACCCCCTGAGGTATTTCCGAACTAATTCAACTTCGGGTTCATTAAGAAAATAGTGTTCCAATTCTTAAAAGGGCAACTTGCGAGCCTTTCGGCAATGTGTACACTTTCGGGGGCGATATCACTTAACATCCTCCTGTTCGATTGCCCCTGTTATATAAAAAAGTTTCAAACCCTTAGTGGGCTTTAGAGGTTTCTGGACCTTATATATATATATATATATATAAATAATAAATCGAGAGCCATACTCACGTGCATTTAGACTTAGCTTTTTTTCACAATAGATTCAAACAGACGTTAATAATGGTTTTTCACACACAATGTTTCCTTAAGCCAGTCGTAACTAATCGCGTATAGCTGAGATGTACCGTATAAATATATAACTATTATCTACTTTAAGAGATAATGAGCAACTCTCAATTCTATTTTAAAATCAGTGTTAATTATTTAAAAGTCTTTGCCACGACTCGATTAAATCCCGACTAAATTCAGTGTTTGTAACATTTGTATCACGCAAACATTTACAATGAGTGATTATGAACATTCGAGTGACATAGTACAATGACGCGACACAAATTAAATTGGATTGTTGGAATAGAATTAATAAGTAGCAAGTTAGTGTGACGATTGCGGAGCGAAAGTTGGCAACTACGACCGTGTAACACGCTTAAATTCAATACCCAAATTATTTCGAGTGGAACTTTCGGCTTTCAATAATTAGGATTATTTGTTTGTAGTTTTTATTATATAATAAAATTTAACATTTATAACAATTCATGGCAGTTATAAACAGTAGTATCTTGAGTGCAATGGGTGGCAAGTTAATGTTTCGCTGCCATTTTAAAAAGTTCCTTTAACTATTTTATTCTACCTACCATGAGCCTAAAAAACACTTTTCTTAATACTGGGATATATACTAAAAGGCATAGGACATAATACAACCGTTGGCAAGAAATATTATTAAAATTGTCAAAAGAATATCACATAAATGTATAAAAATACAATAAAGCTTTTGCTTCATTTCTTTGAAAATTGAAACCATAGTAGAAGTCGGTTAAAAAATTACTATGTACATCTTGTTCGATTTCGAAAAGATTTAATAATACAGTGTAAACTCTTTATAACGCATTCATTATAACAAATAACTCTCTACAACGTAAAAATGAGTTAAATTTAATTATTACCACACACTGATTTCATAAAAAACATGTATCCTAGGCTGTTGATATAAATAATGAAACTAATTTAAATTAAAGAGTAGATTTTATATTTTATTATTATTTTAACCTGTATATTAAAAACTAATAAATTTTCCAAACACAAACATCGTATATGTTGATAGCTTTTTTTTTTAAAACTGGTACATAATTATAGTCAAAAATAAATCATGCCATTTTACTATTGTATTGTAGAAGGAACTATTGTATTAGAACTATCTCAGATCTAGGGATTACTATGATTAGACTTAGTTACTTATAGCCAGACCCTTTGGGATAGAGGGACGCAATAATTATGTATACTCTGATCAATCATACCGACTACCAAGGGAACGAAAGATCGATGAGTATAATAAAAGTTGATCTATTCGATGCTGAACAAGAATACTTTTCTGAGATTCTTCGACATACAAACAACGCTTTGCGCTTTAATAAGGTCTTAGGATATAAATTTTGACTGCGAATCCATGGGTCCCGGGTTTGATCCCCGGCTGAGACGAACATCAATGTGATGAGCATTTGGTGTTGTGCTTAGGTCTTGGGTGTTTAAATATGTATTTATATGTCTATCTATCTATAATATGTATGTATATCCGTTGCCTAGTTCCCATAACACAAGCTTCACCAGCTTAGCATGGGACTAGGTCAATTGGTGTGAATTGTCTTTAAAAAAAAAACTCGAAAGTTACTGGACCGATTTCAGAAACTCCTTCACCATTAGAATACAGTCATCACTAAGTAACAAATTATAATACGTCATATTAAGTACCTTTACGACTTGAAACTTCCATTAAACATGTGCCACCACGATAATTTAATGCGAAGAGAAACTGCCGAACCTATGCCGAACTAGAAAATATAAAAAAAATATATTCACAGTCGAGTAGCCTTCCGGAAAATTTGTATGTGAACTTCAAATATACCTGTAGTTAAGAATAGCTTTTCAAATTCTTTTTCATTGCAGGTCCGAGCGATGGTGGAAATTGTGAAAAAGCTTGGATGGAGCTACGTTTCAATCATTTACGAGGAATCCAGCTATGGAATAAAGGTATTGCTGAGCTATTGCTGAGCGATCATTCAATATTGAAATAGCTGACATAGAAATGCCTTACAAAAATTGAGTAAAGAAAATGAAACGAACAGCTATGTGGATTTTAAAAACTCTGTAAATACTTGGTATAACTTTTGAAAAAAAAAAATCAATGGCGCTACAACCTTTGTAGGTCTGGGCCTCAGATTTCTGTATCTGTTTCATGATAATTTGTTAATCTAATAGGCAAGTAGGTGATCAGCCTGACTGACTGTGATTCTGTGCCTGACGCACGCCCTCGACTTTTTGGGTCTAAGGCAACCCGGTTTCCTCGCGATGTTTTCCTTCACCGTTCGAGCGAATGTTAAATGCGCACATACACAGAAAGTCCATTGGTGCACAGCCGGGGATCGAACCTACGATCTCAGGGATGAGAGTCGCACGCTGAAGCCACTAGGCCAACACTGCTCTTATAATTTTTGAAACTAGCGTTAAAAATTAGTGTGTCATCGATTATTTTATAACAAGGCCAATTAAAATCTTGAATTATCTATGAATGGAGATCAAAGTTCAAAAGCTCTTGCCACGTTAAGTAGCTAGACTACTTCAGTTAGAATTTTTATCTAAGCTTGGATGTTTAACTTTGAAACAGTGAAAAGTACCTTTACTAGTTAAAAGTTGAAGTGAAGTAGAATATTTAAGACTCTAGCGTTTAATTTGTTTTAGATCAATGTTGTCATAGTGGCTTGAGCGTGCGATATTCATCTCTGAGGTCGTAGGTTCGATCGCCGGCTGTGCACCAATAGACTTTGCATTCTATGTACGCATTTAGCAGTCGCTTGTACAGTGAAAGAAAATATCATGAGGAAACTGGAATGGCTTAAGCCCGAAATTTAAAGGCACGTGTTAGCCACAGCCTTACACTTTTCTATTAGAAAAAAAATATATGTATCATAAAACAGATAACGATATCTGAGGCCAAGATTACGGGTTGCAAAATTTGTTATTTCAACTTATTATGTACTTTATGAGCAACTGGAACCACGACTTCTGTAAGACATTCAAAACGTTGAAAATTCGCTTTTAGTTACCGAAAATTTATTTATATGTGTGGCAAAGGCGTCCTCTACGCATACGCGCATACCGTCTAATATCTAAACAATAGTCCACTACGAACATTTAAACACGTATTTAACAATCCTAGTTTTTCACTATAACTTTGTTTCTAAACGTTTAATAAAACATAACCAATATTAAGATTACTATTATTAAAACGGCGTGTTATGATATTCATTATGGCTCGCTCATGTGGTTACTTTGATATATTGTTACTCACTTCAAACTATTTGTATCTGCACTGCACACTTAAAGCAATTTCAGTACCTCGAAAGCCTTAGAATAAGCAAACCTGTATGCACAGGAGCTGCTTGTAACTGAGATACATCACCAATTAATTAAATTTATATTCGTTTACAGATTCTATATGATAGTTTATTTCGTGGTCAACATAAAAAAATATAACATTTATTTCTTTCTAAGTTATTTAATATTTAAATCAGTTGTTTTTATAATTTAAAATATACTCTGCGGTTAAAGGGAAATATGGTTTGAACCTGATTTAATATTTAACCAAAGCGACGTCTTACAATCGATGAATTGCAAACCTACTGATTCCAAGCCAATTGCTGGCCGGCTTAGTCAAGCAATTGAATTTAACCACAGTAGATAGACAATGTATAATGCGGCATCGTTATACGAAACAGGCCTGTCCAATTTGTTTCTGTAGAATAGAATATAGCTCGTGCCACTTACAACTTGTGTTATGAATTACGTTAGTTCTGCCTTGCTATTCTGTAACTCACTTTTCGTACTCTCAACAATTTGGCATTCTCATAAGCAATTAACTACAAGCTCCCTCCTTATCAGAATGCCAAATCGTAAAATGACTGTTTTACGACTGATTTGAGCGCGACCGTCGCTGTGAAAACCGCTGTGTGAGTTCGAGAAGTGAGTTACAGAATCGCAAGGCAGCTTCGCGGTTTGCAAAAGTATCTTATAATTAAGTACTCTCACTACCTTACCAATTAGTAACCTTCGATTATTTAGTGCATATATAGTTCAAGTCAAATTACCGTCACCAAGCTTTAACTTTACTTTTTATCTTTTAAAACATATCCGAGTCTGAATACAATAAAATAAAACTAAAATCCTATAATGAAATTAAACAAATTGGTTGACTAACAACAGAGGAGTTTACAGTATAATTTAAACTTTCGTAATTTTATAACAAAAAGCTTAATTTGTTCCTTTGACAATCTGGCCCATGATGCTCGATCGATTTGTGTAGCTTAGACAGCCTAATTTCAATCTGAGCTACACTAACGACTTCTCCCTACAAGTTCCTTCGTAATTGAATTGCCACGTACAACTTCTGAACCATTGTCTTGAACTAGCTATTTCGTAATCTGATTGTTAACTTGTATGTCTACCAAATTTAATAACCACAATGGTTAGCTTGACTGTATCGGGTTCTTGAATCATTTCCGGGATCTATCTAGTTTAATATTTTGGATGGCAAGTTCGTCTAAGTTCAATAGCAATACGTTCATTCTAAATTTTTTTATATAATACTAGCTGACCCGGCAAACATTTGTTTTGCCAAGTATATTATTTCTAGGAAATATTATTTTAGTTCAATAAAAATAACTATCTACAATAATAAAAAATAAGGGTTGATCGTAGAGGGGTTAAAATTAGGGGTTGTATCTATTTTTGTATGCTGTATCATAAAAAAATAAAAACAAAAAAAATTCTAAAGAATAAAAAAATTTTTTTGGGGTGGACACCCCTTATCACTTAGGGGGTTGAAAGATAGATACTAGTATAGATTATATGCATATTCAGACCTACTGAATATGCATATAAAATTTGATAAAAATTGATCAAGCCGTTTCGGAGGAGTATGGTAACTGACATTGTGACACGAGAATTTTATATATAAGATATAACAAATGAAAATAATTCATACACACTGTACAAAGTGTATTCAATATATACTTAGTTAATTCAATGATGTGGTTTACCATGGAATAACGAGATATGTTTTTATGTTTAGCACTTGTTGGTTATAGAAAGAAGAAGACTTGTAAGCAAAGACAGCAAGACGACAAGTCACAGACTTGTATCTAACCCATATAGTATCTGTGTCTCATAGTCAATCTACGTCTAGACTTGATCTTTATATACTCGTATATAATTCTACTGTAGGTATGAACTCCTCTTTAACGGCTAGACCGATTTGAATGATTTTTTTGTATGCGTTTGGGCGGCGCGCTGGATGGTTTAGATTCACAAATCTGCCCGGCAGATGGCGCTGCAGTCGGTACTTTCATACAACGTCTGTCGGGTCCGCTAGTATATATAGACATATAAACACCTAATAAATAAACGCAGTTGATATACAATTCAATATATTGAAAATGGAAATAATATTAAAAATCAAAACTTTCTTTAATTTATTTGTCATATAGTTAAAGAAAGTTATATAGTACAAATTAATGTTTCTCACGATAGTATAAATTAATGTTTCTCACGATTCTCAATTTTTTTGAAACGATATATTTGTTGATTTTTGGGTCGAAAACATGGTGCCCCGTGGTGATTGATAATTAGCAACCTAGGATGAAAAATCCTTCACTGCAAATCATATACAACAAGGATAACTGGACGCTTAACCACTATAGACTATCACTACTTTAAGTACCATTTTTCTTTCCTTTTTAAGAACGATCACTATACGATTTTAAACTCTAATTATAATAGATATTATTTTATACCAGAAATAAACATATTTCATGGATTGAATTGACGTAATATACCATAAAGGTTGTCCAGGAAGGAGGTATGTCTAAACCTCTTTGAACCTGTTACCTCATGGGCAGAAAATTAACCATTTTCCGAAAGACCGGAATACCTTAGCTGTGATCTTAGTTTAAGGCTCACTTGACAAGGGTTAACCTTTACGCATTTTGTGCTTATTATGGAAGTTTATAGAAAAAGGTTTCGAGTTTACCGTATCAAAAAGATTCATGGTCTGTTTGTGAATGTTGCTGATACCGCTACGCTTCTTTTCGGTCGACCATAAAAGATAAATAGCGCAGCTCATGGTCACCCGCTTAGTCTATAGATGCGCCTTCTATGTATAGTAAGTAAATAGCTAAAAACCCCTTAATAAAACCTGAAAACAGCAGCTAATTTTAAAACTCTTTCTTAACACTATTTTAATACGCCCAATGCTTAAAAAGCAGTGCAGTGTTGGCCTAGTGGCTCCAGCGTGCGACTCTCATCCCTTACAGACTCTTTATACGTGTGCATTTATCATTCGTTCGAACGGTGAAGGAAAACATCGTGAAGAAACCAGCTTGCTTGGCCGGCTTTTTGGGTGTAAGCCAAAGTCGACGGCGTGTGTTAAGCACAGAAGACCGAACACCTGCTTGCCTTTAGACTGACGAATGATCATGAAACAGATTTAGATATTTATCTAATCAGACCTAAAAAGGACTGACTGATTTATTTTAAGGCTTATTTCAATGTATAATCTTTTAAAATATACATCATTTCCTTTTTAAATGATACTTTTTTCAATAGTCTGAATTATTCATTGATATAAATGGTGAGCTAATATATATATATATTATACTATTAAATCACGGGCAATCAGTTGAATGGCTTTACATACATGCATACAAGCAACACTCACTAAATTGAAAACTGGTGTATTTACTAATATGTACTTAACATTTACAAGGTTCGCTAGAAATTTAACGATAAATACTACCCAATAATATTGAATTATAAATTAGCAATGGAAGTATGTATAACGTAGCTTCTACGTATACTTTTAAGTGTCTGCACTCACCAAACAACTTCAAAAAAAATCCTTAAGCAATACATAGGTATTATCTAAATACTGAGGTCGAATGCACACAGGCACAGGCACAACACTATGGAACGGAGCATAAATAGATTTTAGGTAGAAATGTAATCTCATAAAAGCAATTATTGTAATCTTTTTTATGATAGAATATCTGTAAACCTATTTTACATTTTTATTAATAAGTATTTGGAACACATTTGTTTCCGTATAACTCTGCAAAGAAGGCTGACCCTTGCTGCAAAAGTGTGGTTGTTACATTTCCCACGAGACTTCAAAAAATAAATATATGCGTTTTACGTTCATGCCAATCCGTTTGTACTACCAATTGTAGTACAGATGTATATCCATAAAACTAGTTGTTACTTAGCATTGTATATTGTTAAATTGTAATTCTTCAGTGATTTCATCTAGGTTTCATTATGTAGCTAGTCAATTTCCATGCTAGAATTTAAATCGTTAAAAAAATATCATGCATTTCCTTAAGACACAAAACCAGAGAGTTTGAGTGTGCGTTGCCTTCGTACGTACCAATACACACGAAAAAAGGCGCTCTTTTCTTAATTCTTGTTTAACCCTAGACCCTTTTTTATTTAGCCTTAAATTTCAAAGCCCTGTTCTTAATTGCTACAACGTTGAACTGTACTAAAATCGTGCGCGGTTTTACTTTGGTAATTAAATGTACATTTGTATTACCACACGTTTTCACATCTGCCTCGGAAATTGCTAACGACGCAAGAAAATTAATATTGCTGGGGAAATGTAAGAAAATGATATAATATTTGTGGGAAACTATAGAATTGTCTAACCGACTGTGTACGCCCCATTTACGAATATAATTGCTATTTATTAATGTAATTTAATTAATTTCAGGCACTATTTGTTTATTTAAAACCACATAACGATTTCTTTTGTCTTAATCTGTTCAGGCAATAATGTTTGTCAGTTGAAAATCGTCATTTATCAGTTGCATTCATAATTGGAAGCTATTAACGAATTTAAGAAACTGTTTTATATATTAAAATATTGAAGGGTTATAATAGTATTTAATTTTTGAAAATTGTAGTGTTATGTAAACCACACATATTTGCTTCAATTTAAAAAAAATGGAACGGATTTTGAAAAGCACTTAAAATGTAAAAATAATTAATAATATTTACTATAACGATTGTTCTAATTTAAGAACTCCAATCGCAAACACCTTTAAGGTTTATACGGAGGTATATAGGTATAAAGACGTGATAAAATATGAAATTTTAAAATTCAGACTTTTCAGTTAAAATTCTGTAATTAATCTACTAACAAAATACTCCAGACACCGATTGTAGCGATAAGAGGTAACACATGTAAATAAATATTCCTCCTTATCCGAATTCTCAGTCAGTTTAAAATTGTAAAAAGAACTCGTTTAATATAAAGACTCAGTCTGTCAACATTATACATAAACCATATACATAAGTGAACTTGTATAGGAAGTAGTAACAACATAAAATATTCGTTTCTAGACACTTTCTAAGAGCAAGGTAAAAATTTGTCTCAAAACTTTCCGCGTAGAAGTTATTACTGCCATTACTTGAATGGAATAGTTTCAGCGAATTCGGACTGCTGGCACTTTTGGATGCAGTATGTGTCCTTGGGGAACTTTTGTCCGATAACTTCAAGCGGAGACTGTTCAGGGAATTGTATTTTATTATATATTTGAGTGTAATTGTTTACCTACATGAATAAAGATATTTTGAGTTTGAAAGATATTAACACAGTAATGTCTTATGGACAGCATTAACTTTTTTAGGAAACTTTTGAAACTGCACCAATATCAAGACTACTAAACTTCTTTCTAGTGTTACAAGTTTTACTCAATGTTTTATATAAATGGAAAAAAATTGTGCCTATGAGTACTTGGAGTTTTCGAAAGTCTAAAAACAACAACTTTAGAAGGCTTAACCAATCAAATCGATCCTTCATTCAATTCAATTGTCACTTACACTCAGTGAGCACTTGAAAATATCCCACGTCCAACAGAATGTTGTTGACATAGCATTGTGCGTATTTAATTTCGGCTGTGAATTACCAAAATTGATGTAAACATCTTACTGTATATTATTTATTGATGACTGCCCTCGTCACACTATACCATATAGAGATCTTTAATCTTTCTTCTGAATAAGTCTAATTATCAAAACAGCTTAGAGCCCGTTGTATTGTATTGGTAATTGACATTTTACAACTCAGCGACTTTATTAAATACTAAACAGAATAGTACATATTGTTATAAAAACTTCTTTGTGTATATAATTTAACACAAAGAGGTTTCCTTTTTAGAAAATAACTCTCACGCCTTATGCACTCCTGCATGTTAATGCCGCTGGCAACTCATAGTATTTTGGGTCCACTCACATTGTACGTTCATAAAAACTGACAATACAAACCATATTTCCTACCCTGGCAAAGTACATTGTCACAATTACATAAAGTAATGGACTGAAACGCTTTTCATGAAACGTTTCTGACAATGAACAGTATGCGTCGTTTCGGTTTAAAATTGTGTTTCCATTAGAGTTAAAATACGAGCTTTAAAGAGTTTGCAATTCTTACTGTACCCTCACCGTCGCATACCACGAGCGTGCTTTACCATGTCACGTATCAGACATTTTTTTTAAATAGTTTCGTCTAACACGGTCCTAGCACGGTCATGGTGACACGGTAAGTGGGCAGACTTACTTTTTAAAAGGATAATAAACATCAAATAGCAATTCAGTGTTTTGTCACTTTAAAAAAACAAACGTGACAGAATGCTTAAATTATTAATAAAACTTATGAATAGGAAATCTAATCATTAGGGCATAAGGGGATTAAAGTTCCAAAATTATTGAATAAGGTAATAAAGTATAAATAAATATTGATGGAATATTGAAGTCTAATTATGCCTAGTTAAGAGAGCTTATCTACATCTTGGTCTATTGTCTCATTCTTCGTTTCTCAAAGCTAAAGCCTTTTGACAGACACTAGTACTTCAACATACATTTCTAGAAAATTCATAGAAAGGAAAATTCCCGATACTTCCGAGCTACTGCCAGCTGATATAGGCGGCTAATAAATATAATAGTTATTTCTGGGCTACCTAAAACTAATTTAGTAGTAGTATTTTTTATTTATTTTATGTCCTGTCGCATTACTATACTTTTCAATATGTTTCAGGCTTTTGAGGAGTTAGAGGCTCTATTAGCACGTAACGGAATATGCATAGCTGTGAAAGAGAAGCTAGTGAAGGATTCTGGTGTAGCTGATGAGAGCTCCTACGATGACATAGTTCAGAAACTTCTGACTAAGCCCAGAGCACGAGGTGAGAGTCATCTATGTATCCGATTATAGGCATATAGGCTATAATAATATGTTTTTTTTTAAAATAATAATCAAGTGACGCCCTATATGGGTCTTGCATCTAATGCATCCGTTTCTACAATCATTTTTATTTTATAGACCAGTAGGTGATCAGTTCCTTCTGTGTCTGACACATGTCATCGATTTTTGGTTTTGATAAATGCTGGTTTTCTTGCGATTTTGATTTTGATTTATACCTATATGGGAAGAAATGGAAGGCTGTTGTTTTTTGATCATCAATAAATAGTAATAATAGCTGGCACCTTTAGATAGTTTAAAAATTGCACTTTATTTTATTTATTGAATACAGTAATCGCCAGGTATTCTATCACGGTTAAATAAGTTGAAATTTATGCAAGGGTTTGAATTTTCCTTAGGTAGTTTTGAGCTGAAAGTGAGTATGCTTTAACTGAGGAGTGGCTGTTGACATGCCAGTTGCAAAGTATGGTTGACCCATAATTACTTGTACCTATGTAGATATTTATACAAGTAACACAACCTTACTCATATTGTATACATATAATATCTAGTTACAAATAAAGAAAATGATGTTAAAAAAATCGTTTATTTCCATCAAAAAATCTTCGTTTTTATAGTACTCGCGTAGATTAAACACAATGTACTGTATATGTATATGTCACCGTAAAATTGTAAACACCGTTAGATTGTTATCTATTTTTTACCATGTGATGTTAGAATTATTGATTACCTACTAAGTAATGAATAAATACTGAATCACAATTCATGAAGTGCATTCAGTTTATTTGACTGATATCCGTGTTTCATTCCTAACTCTATAAAGCCGACCAATCAGGGACAGCCTTCGGACAGTTAACAATTTGACAATTGTAAGATTGTAATTTGACGGTTTCACTTCGATAGATTACAATCTACCGAATAATAATACGTTAAATTGTAAGCAGTACGTTGATTTCACAATCTTTCGACAGTTCATAATCTCGCGAGATAGATTACAATCTAACGGTGTTTACAATTTTACGGCGACATATATACCTTCTAACAAAGAAACAAAATCTTAAATGCATAATATTTTTACTCCTTATAATAATAGCGTACTCTTTGTTACTGGTAAATATCCGTCACTCAAACAACACCCTTGCAAAAAAATGCGAAGGGTGAATAGCTAACTTGCTTCCGTTTCTATGATTTCCTGGTACATACATTATTCTGAGCAAGGGTAAATTCAAGGCTTTTTATATAAAACAAGTGGCTCCTGGCTTTTAAAGATGAATACAGAATAACGTCCCTCGTATCGGGAAAATAAGTTTTTCAGTGTCATTGGAATCGCAGTAATTGTTTTTATTATTCCTACTATTAAAATTTTCTCTTAACACCGAAAATTTAGCCAAATTACAAAAAGGTTAAGCTTAGGTTTCCTAGAAACGCGGTGCCGTTAACTAACGGCCGTCATTTTACGGTTGTTAATAACGGTCGTCTTTACTTTTTAACATAAGGCAAAAAACAATCATTTTCTCTCGTCCAACTCACGTTTCCACTCATTGTATTAATTAAATATGCGCACCGCTACACGCGAAAAACGTTGAACTACTGTTTATCACCGCTATGACGGCCGTCATGCAAATGACAGCACCGCTATTTGACGTTATGGTGACACTCAACGTTCTCTAGTAAACCTACTCCGATGTTATTTATAGACAAAGTATGGGTGACGTCACCCAACGTTACATTACAGCCGGTAGTTAACGGCACCGCTTTTCTAGGAAACCTAAGCTTAAGTCAAAGGTATATGAACGGTGCGGGACATAAAATGCACCAAAGGTGCAAAATGCAGACTAACAGACACGCATTTTATGCTATCAAAGTCCTGGGTACGAACTTTACAATAGCTTCGTCAAGTATTCATATACGTCAATATAATAACAAGGTCTAATCGAACGGATGTATCTATACTCTGATTTTTAACTCCATAGAATTCTGACAGCTATAATTTTTTGACATGTCATGTCAGAGATTACAAACCTTTTTAGCCAGGCATATTTTTCAATTTCAATACGAGTGTGAACATCTGAGTCTATACATTTTATTTGTTAGTGAATGACGAATGTTTTAATTTTAATAAGTGCGATGGCCGCATTAAAAGTCATTTTACGTTGAGAGATAATTACGTCCCCCAAACAGTAAAAAACGCACAAGTAAAGATAACATTTTATTTTTTAAAAAGGTTTACTAAACCTGGAATTAGTAGGCATTGATGCCAGCTATTGAATAAAATTAAGTAATTAAAGTTAATTGGATATATTATTCGTGATATTGAAATATTTATTATTTTTGTATTAGGTCACATGAGAAAGTAAATGTTTAGATTTACCTTTTTGTAGGTAAAACAAAAAATACTTAGCATTTTATTTTGTATTGCCCTCAAATGGGTCAAATTTGTCCGTAGCAACACTTATGAAAATCAGAATTCTACGGAATGAAAAATCAGAGTTTAATGTAACGATTACAGTTTTAGTTTCGTCCACGGAGCGCTGCTCAAGCTTTTTTGTAATGCAATGTTATTTCGATAACTATATTTAGCTTCGCGCTTAGTGTAAATATTAAATTAACCAAGACATAGGTCGAAGGCGTCTGAAACCTATTATACACTATGTATAACGTGTACGGTGTGACCAGTTTGTCCGTATTTTAGCGTAACAGCTGCCATTTACGATACTCGGACCTTTTCGTCACAAGTTTTTGTAGTTTACCCTATTTTATCCAAAGTGGAGCATTAAATCATTGTCTTAATGTGTTCGATAGTTTTAGATCGAACAAAATCCAGTATGATTTCAAAAGTTTATTAACGTAAACCTCAGTGGGCTAAAGTCCAGGGTCATTTGCTTGTTTTGCTTAATCAATATTCTCTATAGGCCATAGCCAGCTGTGGCTGACACATATAATTGCATTTGGGCTTAAGACCTGTCAGTTTTCTCACCTCACAGTTTATAGCGTACGTAGAATGAAATATCCATTAGGCACAGCCGAAGTTTGAGTTCTCGACCTTGGATTAACAGTTTCAGAATTTCTAGTGAGCTGATGCGCCATTATTCGCCTTAAAACTTCTAATATTTTCTATACTCTCCCTGTTTTAATATAAGAGCTGTCAATAATTAACGAACGTATACAAGGAAATGGATCACAGCAAAAAAATTAGAGCACTAACCAAAGAAAAGTTAACATCTAATATATAAAATTCTCGTGTCGCGGTGTTTGTAGTTAACTCCTCCGAAACGGCTTGACCGATTCTCATTAAATTTTGTGTGCATATTGGGTATGTCTGAGAATCGGACAACATCTATTTTTCATCCCCCTAAATGTAAAGGGTAGTCCACCCCTAATTCTTTTTTTAAATTTTTATTGTTTATGATACATCATTAAAAAATTCATACAACCCCTAATTTTCACCCCTCTACGATCAACCCCTATTTTTTATTATAAATGATATACATGGCAAAACGACGTTTGCCAGGTCAGCTAGTTTATATATATAAGCCTTATCTCAAGTCCTAAAAACAATCGCAAATCAAAGCCACTTAGCAAAAGTCCTCCGTTGACCTTCAGAATCTGCGCGAAAGGGTACACACAACCCTTCACCCGAGCCGATAAATCGTTTGAATGGTTCCAATCGGCAGCTGTGCTCGGAGACAATTTTTCGCTATAGTGGTTACACAAATTGAATCCCGTCAATAAGTAATCATGAACGTTTAGAACGCTGAACTGGGCACGCTCCTTATCACAAGGGTCGTGGGTAGAGAGATTTGTTTTCGGTTAGATCGAACATTCAGCGTTACTTTAAAGTAAACACTGTGGCATTTTATAGTAAATAAAAGCACCGTGTCTGTTGTCATATATGCTAATAGGATATATGACTGCGGGTCATATAGGTATCGGGTTCGAACGTTAATGTGATTTTAATAAGAAAAAAATAATTGCTCTTAATCTAATAAGTGGCGGAATACCAAAGTACGAGAGTTTTGTAATAGACTGTGTGTTTCTTGTGCTTCTGCGCACTCACTTGCGCGCTATAATAATATGGCTGGTCTCAGTTAGCTAGCATCTTTTTGTGTAATTTTAAATGCTAGTATTTAATTAATACAATCAATTATGGTCTGAACTTTACAAGCTTTAATATTTGTATTTAATTTTTGTATCTTAACACAAAAAAGAACTGACTAGATCTAGGATCATTAGTAGTAATTGATATCGACTAATAAAATGATTATTTTCTTATCTTTAAAAGTTCTCTTATAATCGCTTTTTTAATTATTAAAAAACATACTTTTTAGTGGTGCGTTTAATATGAAACTTACGATGTTTTCACTACAACCAAAAACCACACACTATACAAAGAAAACCCTACACAAGCGGAGGAATTTATCAAAAATAAACGTTAGAATCTGCTTTTAAATACTTGCGGCTGGTATTATTACTTTTTGCTTCAAATATTTCAGTGGTAACCTTCGCTCCTAAATTATTACACCGAAATATTGAAGTAGTAGTACAATTTAAAGTTTGTATTTTAGAATTAAAAAAAGAGTTTTATTTACATAGCATATTGATTGTTACTGTCTTTTTTTCGGATTAACGCATTCGGATCGTTGGTATAAAATATTTGGATAAGTTCCCTTGGTTAAACTTAAACCAATATTATTTCATATATGAATCGGATTTTTATAATATTTTTCTTATTATTTACTAACGTGCTGTATACATAAAAAGAAATTCATGTTACCTCCCTCTGTCTATTATTAAGTTAAACTTGAATCTCGCTTAGCAAGAAACGCTTTTACTTTGATTTAAAAAAGGAAATTTAGCCCTTTATAAAAGATAAACAATAGCTAACAAAACAGTGGCATCTTTGCAAATTGCATTTTTTTACTTCCCGATGTCAACAAGGTCTTTTGCTCAAAGGTAATTTTAAATATAATATTTAAATTAAAGTTGCGGAAGTCGTAAAATGGGAAAATGCAAAACTTAGAAAGGTAAGTTAAAAGTAGATTTTTCTAGTAAAAAATAAAATGAATTCTTTAAAGAAACACACTTTGTATGAGAAAGAGTATTTAGAATTCTATAGTACTAGTGTTAGCTGCTACAGAATGAGGAGACAGATCTACAATAATATAAAGTAATTTGGAAAAAGACACTTATGCCGATTTTAAATTAATTTTTAATTACGTGTACGAAATATATATCTTACACCGCTATTATCTAAGTTATCGTACGTAGCATATAATCCGCAAGCCTTAGCTTCTATTGTTGAAGAACCTGCGGTTTCCAGTCGAAACTCTCATAAACAAAAGAAAAATAATTAAGTTTTCACACAGGTGACCCTTCCTATATCTTATAGAAAAAACTTATAATCGAGGGCTGGCAAAGCTTGTTATGGATGAGAAATTGCTTTCGCGATAGGAACAAGATGAAGGATGACGGATACAATTGGTTATAACCTATATATACGTAGTGTGGCTAAAGCCACACGGCGCCAGTTCCTCCCCTATTAGTAACTACATACATTAAATACTCAATAATAAAAATAACAAATTATTGGCCCAGTTTTAACGTTTCAATTATAATTTACTTTTACAATTGCGCGCCTAAAAAAAAGATTTTTAATCATGAGGTATCTTCAAGAGGTGTTCCAATTTTATTGACTCAATTATTAGTAGCTATGTTAGTATAAATACTCCCTAACATAGTATCCTAATGACGGCATTTTCTGACGAATTTCTTGTAATGTAGTTTTTATATAATATTGTTCTAAATTAAAACAATAATTTATAATAAATTTACACAATTTAAATTCATATGTATTTGGAATATATTAATAAATACATATTTAAATAAATAAATGGTAATTACTCTCATAATTCAATTATACCATTAACGTTTGCCTATTTAACTCCAATTAATAATAATTGAAGTGTGGTTGTAAAGCAGCAAAATAAACTGAATATGCAATAACTGCATAAACGTTAATTTATAATACATTTCGCCGCTTTTATAAATATTTTCTCATAGTTATGATGCCACGGATACTTCGTGACTATAGATCTATACACACTAACAAATTTTGTAAGAGTGGCGATCAATACCGCTTAACTTCTAGGGTGCTTCGTCAAGATGCCTTAACAGTAGTGTATGTAAAAAGTCGAAAACTAAATTTGTATGAAAATTTGCCGACACGAACTGTCATTTTTACCCCCTAAGTCAAGAATTATAACCACAGATTATTTTCTTTTCTCTGTGTTTTTATTGTCTGTGAATCCAGACAATAAAAACACAGAAGAAATCCTTTTGAAAACCTAGTTACGTATAAATCATCTATCACTAATTTTACATAGGACTTTGTTTTTGTACCGGAACATTTTATATATATTGTAACTCCTTAATTTGTTTTCTTTATTAATTATCTTCCTTTTCCTATTGCCATTTGATTTTGAGACTAAGATACCGGTAGTGAATACTGAATCAATCACTTCACGAATAAAATAGAGTGTACAGTAGTGTTTGGAACGCACAACCTCAATATATAAACTAATGACTAATGGGATCTTAATATATAAATAATTTAATAACTTCTTAATTGAAATTTCTTCTCCTCAAGACCAATCAATAGAAATATTATTATTTTATATATTTAGTGCATTTTGTTTTTTCAATAAATGTATATCTAGACAACGTTATCGAAGATATTAATCTAGATTGTATTGTTTTAGGAGCAATTATATTCGGGTCAGATCAAGAAGTGGCTGGGGTGATGCGCGCGGTAGAAAGAGCAAACGCCACTCACTCATTCTCCTGGGTTGGATCGGATGGATGGAGCGCAAGGACCTTGGTTTCTGATGGTAATGAGAGAGCTGTAGAAGGCACCATTAGTGTGCAACCTCAGGCCAATGATGTAATTGGATTCAAGGAGTATTTTCTCGGTCTCAATATGAAGAATAATCGACGAAATCCTTGGTTTGTTGGTAAGTTTTTACTAACTGAAAATATTAAATAATGCTTTAAAAAAGCTTCAGGGATGTAAATAAGTAAATTAATAAATGCCCTAAAGCGTCTGTGTTATTTGAGACACGTTTCTGCTTTTTATTTTCTTAAGCCAAATAAGTTAGTAAAAAATAATTGTTTCGGCAGGAACGGAATCCAAAACTTTTGGGTCGTGCGTTAACATTAGTAGTGCTTCAAGCACGGAGGCGGTCATTGTAAAGCTAGTATTTTACAGAATTCTGGGAACACCATTTCCAATGCCGCTACCCTGGGTCTCCTCGAACCCCTTACAACGGTCACCATAAAAGAAGATGTTCAGGAATGGAGCGGCTTACAGTAGATAACACGGAGTTTGAAAGGCAGCTACAGTTTGTTAGTGACGCTGTCATGGCTTTCGCATATGCTATAAGGTATGTGTTATATATGTGACGATGATACTCTACTATATTATTTCATTGTCATTTCGTAGTATTGTTTTGAAATCATCATGACCTAGGATAAATATATAGATATGTCTTGTTTTTGTTTTATTACTTTGAGTAAAGTTATGTTTCTTGATATGGTTATGAAGTTATTTCCCATATAAAAGAGAGGAAACGCGCAATAAACAAGTAAATAAAAGAGGTGTACGGCACAGATCTCATAAAGTAAATTAAAGCGTTTCCAAAAATATCTCCTTTAGATCGTAGGTATAATCATTACTATTTCGAATAAATAAGAAGTATTATAGATACTTAAGCAACGTAACATATATTTAAAATTCTAAATAAAACAATCACTTCTATTCTGTGGAAGTAATGAATATAACAGAGCTTTCTAAACTCGTTTTATTCGTTTTTATAGCGATGAAGGTAAAATAATTCATACAGAATTTAAAACCTCAGCACAAACGTTGGCTTTACAGGATTCACAAAATTGAACTACCGTTCAGCTTGTTTCGAAAATATGAAACCGCTTTTGTCGGAGATACACTGTTTTATAAAAGAAATTTTCGGACGAAAAGTCGCTTTTAAATTGAAATTTCATTCGTAAGCCTATTAATTCTCAAGCTTACAGATTTCTACCATTTTCGATTGAAGATTATTTTTGATGTTGCTCATTTGATTGTAAAAATATACTATATATTGTTTAATTGGTCTACAATTTTAGTGTTAGGTACAAAGTGCGGTTAGTAAACATTTATAATTAATTTGATCTAATCTAATATTGCATTGTACGAGTTTATGATACAGGTATTTCACCATCTTTCTTTTTTGACAATAAACTTAATGCTATCTATTATTGTGAGAGACTGGTGCTTGAAAAAGGTTGGGAAAACCTGTTATTACAAGTCACCAAGAAATAACATTTCCTCCGGTCCACATATGTGACATCTAAACAGTGCTCGTATAGTTATATTATAATAATATATACATTTTATTTTGAATAAGAGCTACGGAGGCTTTAACATTTCAAAAGTGCATAAAAAGTATATAGCTAAACGTAGTAGTAAGTATATCGGTAAAATTTTAGTAATTACGTAATATAACTTGAATTATTGTTAGTTTTTTTTAGTATCTAATTCGATTAGAAATCATTGAAGTGATCAAAAATTATCAGTAGTCAAACCAAGACATAAGCAAAAGAGATATTTGATCGTTGCTAAACTTTAAATTGTTTAGCAACAGATAGTCTCAACTAAAACAATTCCCAACAGCTCCAGTCACAAGATGTTTTTAACAGCTTTCTGAAAAGTAGTATAAAAATCGCTTAGACTAAATACTTCTTAATATGATTATAATAAAAACGAAACCCTCCTCAAAAGAGCATTGAATTGTGAATTAATTGAAGCTTTAGCAAGTTCATTTCACAGGAGATATTCAAATTGCCTTATTGCCATCGAAGTAGGTCACAATAAAAAATTACTTCCAATATTCACCAACATTAGTTCTCCATTTTAATAGTGAATTTATCTTCTCCTAAAGTTAAATCACGTAGAAAAACCTTTGGGACGCGATTTAAATAACAAAACCGGCCAATTTATGACTTGATAGCTAGATTCGGTCCCAATTACTTATTGCTCTTTGAGGAAAAATGAGATTTTTGTCCTCAATTTATTCATTATTTCGATCCGTCTTCTGATTGAATAGATCCGTGACGAGACGTTTCTTTGTGACGAGCAATCACCTTAGAGTTATAACGAAGTTAACGGTTTACTAGTTTTTTATTGCATTTATGGAAATATATATAATACTAGCTACCCCCGCGAACTTCATTTCTTCTTAATGTGATTTTACTTAGCCTACCTTTTTAGTACATAGTACCAACATTTTGCTACGCTACCCCAGAGACTGTTCGGTTTTCTGGAATTAAAACTATTTAGGTTTTCTGTGAGTTTTTCTCTATATAAACCTCAGGGTTGATCGTAGAGGGTTGAATATTAAGGGTTGTATGTATTTTTGTATGTTATATCATTAAAAAAGAACAATTTTTTTTTTTCATATTGTAAAAACAATTTTTTTGGGGTGGACACACTTTATAACTTGGGGTTCTAAGAAAGATAGTAGCCAAATGTCAGACTTACTGAATTTGCATAAAAAATTTCATAAGAATCGGTCGAGCCGTTTCGGAGGAGTATGTATGTATGTATAATGTATATATGGATATAGAGATATATATATATAAAATAATCGTGCGGCGATAAGACTCATCTTCTCTTAGACTACATATGTTTCCTTAGTCTGAAATACTTAACATTAGTTTGCCAGAAATTACGTTTTTAACCAACCCTTTTAAACCAACCAAAATGAACATCCGAAAGTATCCGGTGTCAAATCAGTGGAACAATTATTGAGAATGGCTTGTTCATTACAAGGAGAGACTGACTTTAAGTCATTGAAAAGGTATCACAAGATATACCTTTTTTAATTTTACTTGCCAAAACCTCTGAATCCTTATTTATAAGTAGTAAGGACCACATAATAATATGTCGTGTTAAGTAATGTTATAAATAATAAAATTTATACTATTTCTTCCTACTTTAATTTATTTTTCTGACAGTAAAGGCTCCATGGTTTACCTTCCTTTGGCAGGTCTAAAGTTGTCTTTCTATTTGATATGTCTTGAAGTACTTTTTAAGTGAACAATGTTCCTGCAATTTAGGAGTAATCAATCAAAATACGGTTTCGTAAAATGATATAATATAAATGGAAGTTTATATTATTCAAGAAAATAGCTAGCAGATAATTTAAATGAGGTTATTTTATTAAAATTAAATGTTATGTGGGCTTTTTAATTTTATCACTGAACGTTTATCTTTCACTCATTCAGAATAATTTATAAATTATAAAAACATAAAGCAGACTGTGTAAGCATAAATTACATAATTTAATTCCATTCTTCTTTAATTTATGTTACTAAAATGTAAATGGTGTTAGTGCGAGATAATGTCGAGATTTCTGCCACTATTATTGCTGACATTCTTAGATATGTGTACCTATATATTTAATGTATTTAATTTGTAAAGTCTTTTATATTTACTCACTGACCGACCTTGCGGAATTAAAAGCCCGATCATATAAGATTTTAGCGTTTAACCTCTTCATTCATAAAAACTAAAAAAAAAACAGTACATTTTTTGTCTCTTTTATCAAATCCTAAACACAATTTGACAGAAAGAGACAAAAGAGTATTTCAAACTAGTGGTTAGATAGATATTTTTTCATGAATATGATTTTTATTTCGTTCAAATTACCTACATAACGTTTTGAATTGGCTTGGTATTTAATAACTTATGTTATATCTTATTTTAGCACTTATAAAAAGCGAGATTTAGGTCGATTTTAGTACCTATTATAATAATTGATGCCCAAAAGTCAGCACGTAACTTTCTATGCGATTCAGTGCTTAGCTGAAGGACCTCAGACTATCTTAAAAACGACTAAATAAAGTTCCTTTTTTGACCCCCATCCAAAAAGATAGTTTTATAGTACGACTCAGTATACAAAAAAATATATTTCATGCTACAAATATAGACGTTAATATTGTGCTGTGTTGCTATAAGAAATGGACGATAAAGTGTTACGTGATACCGACCTGCATTAAGTCGACGTGACAAGGTCGCGTTGAGTAAATTTCACTTTTATTTACTGTGTTTATTTTGTGCTAACTGCGCCCTGTAGGAGAATAAAATGCATGCATTTGAATAATAGAATACCTTGCTTTCCGGTGGATTAAAATCTTGGTAATAAAATAACATTTCTAAACTTCAAATCATCAATATATATACTGCTCAAAACAATTAGCGGAACAAGATTTTTCTCCTTTCTATTGCTTAAACTAAAATTAGATTTAAATTAACTTGTACGCTATTTTTTACCTTGTTAATTTGTTAATAACTACAATTAATAAAAAAAAACAATTTGTATTTTTTTTATAAAAAAAAAATTAAAATGTGCATTGTAGACGAAAAACAAAGTGACGTCTTTGAGTTTTCATTACTTTCTAATCACAGAAAACACATTTTAAGTAGTTTTTTTCAATCTTTTGAGTATTAATAGAAATTGAAGTGAGCCTTTTGAGTATTGTTATTCATTGAAGCGAGTGAGTTTAGGTCATAATGCCAGATCTGACTGAATTGCATGTCTCCCGAGCTATCGCTTTGCTTGAAGAGGGTCGAACTATGCGTTATGTAGGAAATGATCTAGGAGTAGCCCCTTCTGTTATCTACAGACTTTGGAAGCGATACCGTGAGACGGGAGAATACTCACGAAGGCGTGGTCAAGGTCGAAAGAGAAAAACTACACGTTTGCAAGATCGCTACATCGTCAACTGTGCTTTACGTAACCGCACCACAACTGCAAGAGATCTATGAGTTGTCGAATTACGAGAAATCTCTACAATACTATAAAAAATAAACGTATTGCACGTTAATTTTTTATTGATTTTTTGATATTGGTACATGTTTTAAATTATATATTTATATCCGAGATTGAAATGCATTTTATATGGATATATTCAGGCACTGTAATTGAATCTAGTCAACTCAAAAAGACGGATCAAACAGCAACTTGGCTCTTTGGGTCGCTTGCTTGCATTAATTTAATAACATACAAATGTGAACATATAACATACAAATCATCTACAAAGATGAACCATTTTATCGATTAAACTAACTTTAAATTACACCCTATTCTCGTCCTTTGGAGTATGCTAAAGGGCTATGGAGCGTTCTATTCTTCGGTTAAAACTTAAAGACAAAGTTAAAAACGTGATACAAAGCCTTTCACACATAACAGTTGTCGTAAATTATACAAAAAAGCTAAAGTGGATTGGCTGGTATCATTGCCTGCGTTTGTGATGGGTCAAGAAAACCCTTACTTGAAACGGCCCAGTGGGATGAAAAAGGAAGGACGCCTGCCAGAAGCCTGGGAAGATGGAATAAAAGGGATAGCGGTTGGATTGAAAAATTGTGGTAAGGATGAGGGACAAGTGGAAGAATTGGTTGACGCTTCACTCTTTCGGAGGTCGAGTAATGTAAAACGTAATGACATGAGCTTATTTTAATCTTAATGTAGTACTCGAATAAAGTTTTTTTTCATTTTTATTTTATTATTGCCACTTCTCCCAGTAGCCTAAAAACATGTTTCCGAATCTTAGGATCCTTAAATAAATTCAAAGAAGATTCAAAGAAGCAAGATTAAAAAAGTTAGTTCACCTACAAACATGTCACACATTAATGACCAGAAACTATACACTACTAGCAAACTCGGCCAAGCGTTGCTGTGGCTAAAGTTTTTGTTATATTACATAGTAGCAAACTATTCAAGAGAAACGGTAGGAGAACACCAATCCACCATGCTTTTTTGGTCGTTATGCCATTAAATTGTAGCTTATGTGAAACGGTACTTGGTACTTTCAACACAGCGCCATCTGTTAGAATTGTGACTATCAAATAATAAACAAATATTTTGCAATAAAATAATATTGCGGGTATAAATTAAGATGTAAGCTAATCCTATCTTTTAAGTTGGATCAAACTACACACGGTGTGCAAATTTGATTGATATCGGTTCGGTAGTTTAGGAGTTCATATAGGACAAATAACGTGACACGTAATTTATATATATTAAGATATACCAAGGTAGCATTGAAGATGAAGTGAAAATAAATTTTAATTATTACCCCCTTGCTACACAAAAAAATTGAGTATTTGATACAAAATACAACAAAAATTTGTTTGATGGGTTACAATAATTCTGTCAACGTTATAAAGTTTAGTATTTAAAAAACATATCATTCTTAAACTGTTGAGACCAAAGTTAAGGAAAGTTTTATAATAATTAAGTTAAATGTTTTCATTTAGAACAACTAAGTAATTGCGGTAGCGTTGCAAAAAACATTATTTTCGTCTCACTTCTCTAAGATTATTCCCCGTTAGAAACACATAAGCAAACTAAGTTACAGTAAGCCTGACGTGACCCTTTTCCTCCTGTCAGCACTAATAGCTTTTAGCTTCACCTAGAATTACCTGGCTCGTGCATTAAGACGATGAGTGCTATTCAAGTTTTTATACTATACATCATAATATCCAAATATATAAAACAAAGTCGTGTTAGTTACATAGGCTGCACTAAAAGTATCGGGAATGGAATAATACCACTGTTCCTGACATATTTAAATCTTTTTATTTGAAGACTCCTTTTTTTTAAATCGAATACCATTTATGTTTTTTTAAAAAGATTCTCGGTCTTTACACAAAGTTTTGTCAAACTTGTGTAGTCGTTGAGAAAATGGCTGCATTTGGTGATGAAGCCCCATCCAAAACCACAATTTATCGCTGGTTTGCTGAATTTCAACGTGGACGTGTCAAGCTCAGTGATGATGCTGTGCGTAAGCTGATTGAGGAAGATCGACATGTGACATACCGCGAAATTCAGGCAACTTTAGACATTGGCATCAGTCAAATACAAATAATTTTGCATGAACAATTAGGTGTAAAAAAGTTGTTTTTCCGATGGATTCATCATTCGCTCTGTGAAGAGCAAAAAGCGGTTTGCGTTACTTGGTGCATCAGAACTCTCGAAAGATTCCACGCAGGATCCTCAAATGGTGTATACAACATCGTATCAGGTGACGAATCCTGGATACACGCGTCCGAATCCGAAACAAAAAACCAGTCACGAGTTTGGGTGTTCGAAAATGAGTTAAAGCCAAAGAAAATTGTTCGTTCACGGAGTGTTGCAAAAAAAAATTGTGGCCACGTTTGTCTCCAAAACCGGCCATGTTGCGACTATTCCTCTTGAGGGACAAAGAACGGTTAATGCAGAATGGTATGCTAGCATTTGTTTGCCACAGGTCGTTTCTGAACTCCGTAAAGAGAACTGCAACCGCCGCATCATCCTCCATCACGACAATGCGAGTTCTCACACCGCGCACAGAACAAAAGAGTTTTTAGAGCAAGAAAACATCGAATTATTAGACCATCCGCCGTACAGCCCCGACAAAAGCCCTAATGATTTCTATACTTTCCCTAAAATAAAGAATAAATTGCGTGGTCAGAGATTTTCATCACCTGAAGAAGCTGTGGACGCCTACAAAACGGCCATTTTGGAGACCCCAACTTCCGAATGGAATGGTTGCTTCAATGATTCGTTCCATCGTATGAAAAATGTGTCAAATTTTGCGGAGAATACTTCGAAAAGCAATAAATACATTTTTATATAGTAATGTTGTGTCACTTCCTTTATTCCCGAAATTTTCAGTGCCGCCCTCGTACACCACTTATAACTCAAGATCGGCTGGACCAATGTTAGTGGTGTTGGTGGATTCTTCTCCGCTCCGAATAGCAGAATAAGTAATAAAATATCGGATAAGTTGTCGAATAACAATTAATTAATTTTACGAATGCAAATAGCATGTGTTGCCATCCGTTAACGAAATAAATAATATAATATAATAATAATGTTCGCCGGGTCAGCTAGTTTGTGTTATAAAAATAACTTAAATCTATACACAACATAAATTTTTGACTTCTAATTAAAAGTTGAGAGAGTGACCTCCAGTGAAGGGCAGACACATTTCTGTGGCTATTTAACGATTGCACTTTTGCGTCTTATGTCTTATGAATCGTCTCAATGTCCTTTGATCCGGTTTAATAGATGACCCTTTTGTGTATCCCAATAGGTTATAGAGCGAACACATTTCTGTGTCTGTTGTTTTTTTAAGTAAGGTAGAAATCTGACCAAAAACAACGCTGATCTACCAGGAATTAAACCTCAACCTACTAAAGCTCAAACTTATGCCACATGTGTGACCATCGTAAAACTTTATTGTTGTTTGTTTATTTAACACTTTGTTGCTCTACAAAATTATTACAATGATAAACATTAATGAGACTCCCGTATGCCAAATTCTAATACATTTATTAAGTACGCGAATGAGTGCTAAATATCATATCTGAATCGAACCCTTCAATTATTAGAAGGGCATCGGGCGACCTTATCGCTTCAAGCATTCTATCCCAGGCAGGCATTGTAAGGAAAAATAAATATGATAAAGCGCAAGTGAAGAAATATAGATGTATTACTATGTAAAGAGCATATGAATCGTGACAATTTTGAAATTATATTAACTTAGTTTTCGGACAGGTACAGAATAGATATTTAAAGGAAGATAGGCAGATGTGTATTCTATTCACAACTATGCTTTACTTCGTAAACCCTATAATATTAATAAATAATTTAAAAATAAGTTCATTTCTTCTCCTTTTTTTTTATAGAACGGGGGGCAAACGGGCAGGAGGCTCACCTGATGTTAAGTGATACCACCGCCCATGGACACTTTCAATGCCAGAGGGCTCGCGAGTGCGTTGCCGGCCTTTTAAGAATTGGTACGCTCTTTTCTTGAAGGACCCTAAGTCGAATTGGTTCGGAAATACTTCAGTGGGCAGCTGATTCCACATAGTGGTGGTGCGCGGCAACTACTGTATGTTCAGCTATAATCTGTTTATGCCGTTATTACGTTTCAAAGCACACATCTGGTACACGCAGATGAAAACAAAACTTCTTAAGGTTTCGATTTAATAACACATAACAAGTACTTGCAAGAGTCGCGAAGAGTTGTAAGTCGTTGAAATCGGCTTACCTCAAGACAAGTTTGTTTTGTGTCAGTTATAATGAAACTGATATTGGTACTTGAATAAAATAATGGTCTCCTACGAGAGAACTTCAAGAGAGAATTTTAGTTAGGTTTTATTATTTTATTATTCGACCGTTTATTTAAGTTCTTATTTTTTTATTCAAGACCATAACATCTTTAGTTAAGACACAGAAATGAAATAAAGAAAATATAAATATTTTTACTTATGCGCAAAACTATCACTAGTTTTTTTTTTATCTTAATTTTATACACTTACTAAGATTACAAATACTTCCTACTGTAAGATTTCCAAACGAGTTTAATTGTACTAGACGAAATTCGAGTATAAACAGTTACTAGACCTTCTTATATATTTATTTAGGAGGAAACAAATATATACAACACATTTATAGAAACAGAAAGTATATACAGTATTGGACGTATTCTACAAGAGTATCACAGAAAAATTATAATTATAAACAAACATGACAGCAGATGGGCAAGCTAAGTGACAGTACAATATTTCGAACATCCCGGAGAAAATATAAAAATAACTATAACAATGTTTTTTACAATATAATAAGATAAGATATAAATATATTTATTTACAAATAATGATTAGTCTATCGATTATCATTTGATATAAAATACCTTGCTTTGTGCGGATAAATAAATTTACCATGAACGGGTTGATTATTTTCTTCTCCCCGTTATTTTCTAAATCGAAATGTCTCGGAGGCAGAGATATAAAAAATTTCCTCAAACATAACATAAATAAAATATGTCTTCAAATACGATACGATTAAATATCAACATTTAAATTATTGTAGATTAGACAAAGTCGTAAATGAAATAGAAAACTATAAAGTATATTCACACTATAGACATTTTTATAAAAAAAAGTAATACTGCCTTAACAGTTCAATAAAAACATCATATGAACAGAATCGTCGCAATCTATAAATATAAAGACTATCCCCACGAAACTACTCATCCTTAGGCAACACCAATTGTTTATTTGTTTCTGCTCCTTATATCCTATATGGTTAAACCTTTGAATCATTTCGCAGATTTTTGGGTCTAAGATAATATGCAGGCTTCTCGATGATGTGCCGTAGTTCGTAACTCGTAAATAAAATTCGAATATTTTTCAGTTTTTACTGTTAAACTTTCGTAAAATAACAGTAATGAGAAACATTAAACCTTATTCAAGTTATTGCATTCTCAGTTGACGCGTGATTAAACATATCGGAAGCGCACAAGTATCTTAGGATATTATGTTAGAACTTTATTAAGCCAAGACGTTCTTATAAAACTAGAAACATCATTTTCATAGTCAATGTTTATTCAATTCAACTTTTAACAAAGCACTTTTACTATGCCAGGTAGTAAATTCTCTTTATTTACTACATTTCTAGAAATTTATA